AAATCTATATACCCTTTTTTAATGCTTTGCAATGTTAAACTGAAAAGTGAAATCGAAATCGAAGCTTTGTTTTTGTTTCTTTTCTTTTTTATAGTACATGTTTTAGACATTATAAATATAAATGTTTTGCATATATTAAAAAAAAAAAAGTTTTCATTTTCGGATAAACTAAGAGTAATTTACATTTTGAATAGAAATATGCTAAAAACCATAAACTGCATTAACAATATGTATAGATGTATGTGTGTTTGTGTGACTGGGTGTGTGTAAGTATTTCTTATTCCTTTTCGTCAATGTTTATACAAATTGATTGAATGTTTTTTCCTTTTCCAGCTTACGCACAAGCTCGTAGTCAAGCGCTTGTGTTTATGTATGTGTGTGTGTGTGTGTGTGTGTTCGTGTTTGTGTAGGCAAACAGAAAACTGTGATTCTGTTAGTGGCAGAAGAGATCTCTGCCTAGTTTTTTCTCTTATAGGAATTATGCAACAGCACAAATACGTTTGCATGTTTTATTATTTAAAACGTTTTTCTTTTATTATGTTTGTTTACAGTTAATGCGTGTGTGTAGCTTCTTTTACTTCGCAAATGAACCGTTAGCAAAAGTGAATTTAAAAGTAAATGCAAGTGCAATTAAAACGATAAAAATCAATACGAATTCATAAGAACAAAAGCCTTTTCCTTTTCCTTTCCACGAAAAATCATTTATAAGTAGGCGTGCGTGCGTATATGTGTGTGTGTGTGCATATAAATATATGGATCATGCGTGTGTGAGTGTGTGTATGCAGAGGCCATGCATTGATTATTAGTGTAAGCAGCAACAACGCACGCGCAACGCCGCAGTCAACAGAACTGAATTACAGAGTGTGAGTGTGAATATAACAATAAGAGAGTGTGAGACTAAGAGAGCGAGACGACATGCTGAACACTGCATGCATATGATCGACTTGCTGCTGGCGGTATACCAAGTGAGCGGCAGAGAAAGATAGAGATAGAGAGACAGGTTTTTGATGAGTGAGTGAGTTGTACTGTCTCCTAACGGCTTACGACTGAATTTGTTTTCTTTTTTCTTTTTCGTTTTGTTTTGTTGTTACTATTGCTTTTGTTACTTTTGCGATGCAATTTGCATTTGCATATTTGCTTACGGTTATTTTTGTTTTTCGATTTTTTTGTTTTACTTTAACAATTACGTTATCTAACCATGTGTCCTTTATGTGTTTGTGTATGCGTGTGTATGTGTGGGTGTATATATGTTTACATAATTTTGGTAGTTTTCAATGGCCAAAACAAATTAAAAATTTATATTCTTGCTCATTTGAATTTATATTGTGTGATTTGCAGTTGTTGCTGCTGTTGTTGTTGTTGCTGCTGCTGTTGCAGTCTGAATATAGTATAACAGAAAATTATTTTTAAGTTCAAATGAGCAATTATATGAACCAATTGTTGTTAAGTTTTTAGAGAGTGCCACAAATGTTTGTTTTTGCTTTTATTTCTGTGTGGCTGCTGCTGCTGTTGTGTTCGTTGTTGTTATAGTTGTTGTTGCTGTTGTTGTTGTTGTTATGGCATTTAGAGGTAAAACTTGCCCAGCAACAGACCAAAAAAGGCGGCAGCAATTGCAATGGCTATATAAAAGATCGGAATCTGTTTCTCAGCCAGAACCGGAGCATAGGGCTCATTGATCTGCTTGGCGGCCGGAGAGCTACGATAGCGTGTGATTTGATCCTATATACAAGAAGGAAACATCCATTATGTATATGTGTAAACACTATGATTGTATCAACTTGCCTTCAAATGTAGATTCTCTTTTCGCAGTTCCCCATTCATATCGCGTATCTCCTTAAGCTCAGCCGCCAGGGCTGCGGCATATTCCGCATCGTTAAAATTCTGTGACTAAACAGATATATATGTAAATTAGTTGCAAGTCTTTGTCAATATGATCCCATACACATACCATCGGAGCGGACGGCACAGTTATATCGCTTTTGAGCGCCTCACCAGAGCTGAGAGATGCCGGCGCATTGGTGCCCACGCTGCCGCCGGCACTGGCCGAGCCGGCACCGCTGACGCCGACGGCGCCACTACCACTATTATTCTCTGCATTGTCCTCCATGGGCGGCATTTCGAATACGCACCTAAGCTTGGCATCCATAAGCTGTTCAGGTTCCAATTCCTTCCACTGGAATGGCAAACAATATGCATGCAGTTAGAGCGAGCGAGACACAGAGAAGAGGGTGGGAGTCCCCCTCTTGGATGGTTAGGAACTACAGCTGCTTACCAACTTGTTTAAATCAGTCAAATCGGCTTCGGGCGGTGCCAGCACGCTTTGCACCATGAACTTGTGCTTGTTCTTCTCCTGCTGATCGTACATAAAAGGCTGCAGGCAAACTACAGAAAGCAGAAAGAACAAGGTTATAGAATCATATATAGATTATCAGGCGCGTTGCTCTACTCACTTTCCACCTGCGTCGTACGATAAGACGCAATCCTTCCAATATTGGGACGTACACAATAGCGCTTCGGAGCGGTGGTCTTAATTTTGAAGACCAGTGTCCTGGCCGAATTGTTTTTCAAGGTCATGATTGTCACCACTGGTCGATTGAAAGGACCTGTAAAATGGATGAGGACAAATTAAATATTGTGGTATATATTTATTTATTTATATATATATATGCAAGTGTTTTATTATAAAACTTAATTGTAAGTACATATGTGCAAATAGAAATTTGTGCTCTCAGCATTGTCTTCACTCTGAACTCAGATCCCGCCGTAGCTAGTTGTAGCTCTACTTTCCTTTTACTCGCCCGCTCTCTCTTCCAATAATGTCCCACTCCAACACTTGCTTCTGACTATTAGGTAAGATCCCAGGGTGTCATTACCCTTTCGCGCATCCGCTCTCTGGCTTAAATATCCTTTTAAGTTCCCCCAACAACAAACCCACTCGCATCAATGCTAAAGCTCTGCCCTATTGCGTCATTCTAATTGGGTATATTCGCTACGTGCGAAACGGGCTTTGTTTGCATAAAATATTATTCGATTACTTTGCCAGCTGTTTGGCTATGGGTTCATTCATGTGAGCTGTGGCCTAGCCTTCCTATTCAGCCAATCCGTGTATATAATATATACATACATAGTATATTGGCAGCGCCCGATAATCTACTTGTCAATAAGACGATTCGCACCTGACATCACCCGCATATGCATATCTCTTTTTATAGGGTATTCTAATGTTTGTTCACTTTAGAGCTATCATTTTTGGCTCTTCATGTCAAATTAATTGAATTAAAAGCAAAACACACTCACACATACATGCACATACAAGCGCGCGCATGCAAACACACGCACATAGCAAAGCACAGCAAAACTTTTTTTTGGTGATTCTGATTTTGTTCGATTTTCAAGGGAAATTCATTCAGTAAGACAGCCGTATGAGTGTTATATAGGCCACGTATGTATGTATGCTTACGCACGTGTGTGTGTGTGCGTGTCACCGATGATCGTTGGGGAAATGGTTAACGGCAGACGACCATGCCTGTATGCGTGTGTGTGAGTGTGTATAATATGCACTAGCACATGCTTTGACATATGAACGTACAGTGAGCAAAGGCTAACTATGTACGTGGTCAACATGAGAGGCAAGTGTTATTTGTGTCTAGCTTTTACTGCATTACGGCCCACTGTGCGCGCAACACAACTCAAAGCGTGCTGTCATATGCATTGTTGTTGTTGCCATTTGGCCAAAATTCAAAAAGTAAAGGAAAAGAAAAAATGGCTCATGAAAAGCTGTTGAGTATAAAAATAAAATGTTAGCCAAAAGACGGCGGCAAAGGTTTCAAGGGAGACAGAGAGAGAGAGAGAGAGAGAGAGAGCGCGCGTGTAATACTCAGAGAGCGCAAGAGTGAGAGAGGAAGGAAGAGTGGCGGCATTTCCAAAATGAAAAAGACGCCACGGCCGCTGCCGCTGCTGGCAGCAACATGCCAAAACAGCCGCACACACGTACCCTCGAAAATATGTCAAAAAACAAAAGTGATACAACAAAATTATTGATAAGCTGTGTAGAAAAAAAAAAAACGAACAGTGCAAAGTGAAGAGAAGAGAGAGAGAGAAACAAGTCGGCAAAGCGGCCCTGCGTCAGTCATGCATTAGTATGCGTGTGTGCGCGCGTGCATGTGTGAGTGCGTGTGAACTTTGCAGTTTGCTCGCGCGGCCACCGCAATTGACCAGCGGCAATGTTTACAATACGCATTCAACTGTCCATCGGTGTCTTAAAAAATAGTGATCGATATGCCGCCGCACACACGATAGTGGCCTTCTCTTTGTCAAGTCCAAAACAAAACAAAACAAATGCAAAGGAAAATGCAAATGCATAAATGCAGCTAAACACACGTTCGTACCTATGCATGTATGTGGCTGCGGCTGTTACCGCTTCTGCTTCTTCTTCTTCTTCTAATGTACAATACGATTCACACGAACAGCCACACACATACGTACTCAATATATAATATACATATACACTTACCAACAAAGCGCAACTCATGCTCTGGCTCAATGGTCAGCGGAGCTTCGAATTGTGCTGTTTTATTCATTTTGTGGTTGTTGTGCTGCTGCTTCTGCTGCTGCTACTGCTGATAATAACTAATAGTTGCTACCGATTCCTGTCCGTTCTCAGAATTGCTGCTGTTGCTGTCTGTTGTTTCCTGGCGAACAATAATTAAATAAATGCAATTACTTGTGATTTCATTTTTGCCCACTTACGTTTTCTATGGGCCTCTCTGTGTGTATGTGCCTTATTTGCGCTATTCTGTTTCGATTTTTATAATATTCAAATTCGAATGTGAATTCGTATTCTTATTTTTTTAGCTAAGCACACTTTAAATTTTTTGATTCGACTCGACTCGACAAATTTTGCTTTCGATTTCGCTTGTTTTTTTTCTTCTTCACTGCGCTTCACGTCGTCGTCGTCGCACACTCTTGTCTTCGTCGTTGCTTTGGTTGTGTTTGTGTATATATATGTGTTAGTGTGTGCCTGCCTGTGCCTGAGTGGCCACCAAAAAATATCGGTAAATGTATGCGCAAAAAAAAATTAAATACACGAGGTTGCTGCGTGCGAAAAAAAACCGACGATCAACGTTTGTTGTTTGCAATTCGCGCGAGCCGCTAAATGTGTAATATGTGTTTAACAAATGTTTGGCTTTCCTCACTGACTACGTTAATTCACGCACTTCTGCTTCCGTACTTTTCAGCAGCAAAATCTTCGTATGCAAAAAAAAATTCAGTCACCGCCGTCATACATGTATGTTCTTCAGACGCATGCGTCAGCCAAATAGCGTACCAGACCAGCCGGTAATTTGAGTTGCCAGATCGATATAAAAACCCGTGTGACCATTCTATCGCATCATTGCAACCATGCGTTTTGTGTGCAAATAATTAAATTTTAAATTAATAATAAAAGAAATTCTGTAAGGAGCGATGAATTTCTTTCTTTTTATTTACATAGTTTTTCGTGTTTTTTTATTCATGTTTCGGTATATAGGTAATGGATCCCAAGTTTTCATTTTATTGCAGCCCTGTGCTGTAAGAAAGTGGCAGTACGACGGCGAATTCATAGGCGCCAACATTTGAAGTCTTGAAAGGCGGCTGAACTACTTGATTAGCTCTTTGAACTGCCAATTAAAACTCGAATATTTATTTGAGTATATTTTATTTATTTGTGTTCACATCGTCTTTTTTGTTATACATATCAAGTGTTTGTTTTTGTTTTTCTTTTTTAAACAGCGTCAAGCTGCTCCCTTGATGTCTTAGGTGACAAAATATTGACGGCGAATTCATTGGCGCCAATATCGAAAAATGATAGTGTGTTTGTGATTGTGTTCATGTGTATTACAAATATTTATGTCTACATATTATGCTTTATGTATATTCCTTTTCACGTGTAGCGTATCATAACAGCCTTGTTGCTTAGGCGACGAATTCAGTTGCGCCATAATTCTAATTTAAAATTTTGTTGATACGCAAAATTTTGCGTTATACTAAAAAAAAGTGTACAGAGTTTTCGATGTAGAACTCTCAGTTGTGGTTGACTATAGCTAGACTTTCAGCGATAAAGCGCTGTATGAGTGCTTGGCTCCTAATGCCAGTGGGACGAAGTAGAACTTTAAAATTCGACATTGCGGAAAGTATGTTTTCGGGATTCGCGATTTTTGGCGCGCGCAGAATGTGCTCAATGAGCAGCGGATACTTGCTGGGATCGGCGTGCTGAATCATTTCACAGTAGAGCACTTGCATGTAGCACTTGAATGTAAAGTTGTACGCATTCTGAGCCCTGTCTGAGTCCATGGCATCCACCTGATCAGAGAAGCGCTGCAGCACAGCCAAGCCAAAGTTGAGACGAATCGCGCAGCGCAGCAACTGAATCGACTCCACAGTCGATGCCACGCTAAGCAGCTGCAAGAGTAACAATTTAGTACATACATACATACATACATACTTATATATATATTGTTTGGTAATTGCTTTAGCTCACCTTGGTATAGTCGCCAATCGAACGCTTTGCATCTCTTAGCAAATCCAGCTCCTCGTTGTGCCACAAGTGCTTGTGCTCCACCTTCTCAGCAATCAGCAGGCGCAAGCGCCCACGCAACACTGCAGGACATAAGACAGCAACATGAATACAGTTACAAAGACAGTTTGGCTGACAGGGACTCACCCTCGTTGCTCGTTATCAAGCGGTTCGCATGTTTTATGTAATACTTCAAAGTTTGGTCGAGCGCTGCGATGCGCTTCCGGTGAAAGTTCTCTGGATTCGCCCTCAGCTGATCCATGCTTAGGACCACCTGGGCGATGATGTCCCAGTTGGTGCTCCTGTATCTGTGGAATGAGTTCTGCAGAATCAATTGGGCCTTGGCCAGCTGCAGCTGATGGCGCGCTCGGCGCACTGCGACCGCGATGATCGATGATGAGTAGCTCTTGGCATTGGAATTTGTTCTCGCCTTGGCTTGCAACAATCTATTGAGATGAGAGTGCTTTGTCTTCACCTTATCCTTGGCGGTCTTCATCAGCTGCCGCTCCACGGAATCCAGCTGGAGCAGCACTAGCATTGTCTTCTCCACGGCTGAGAAGCTCTTGTTCTCGGAGAACTTGGACAAGGCCTCGATCAGGTCAGCCAAGAAGCGCTCCTGACTTTGACGGAAGGGCAGCTTGTGCTGCTGCAGCATCAGCGCTGCCACAGGCGTGTCGAGCCTCTGCAATAGGATGGGCTGCTCATAGAGACACAGCAGCATCTCCGTCGAGGCCGTGGCATACTGAGTGCTGGCGCTTTGGGTCGCCAGCTGGACGTCGTTCAGCAGACTCTTGACAGTCGATTCCATTAGAATCAGCGAGTGGGGCAGTAAGCGCTTGATGGTAGCCAAGTAGAGCAGACAGAATCTCTGATGCTTCATGCCCAAACGGGCAAAGTCCAGCCAGGTCTCTTCGGGCTGCTCGAAGCACAGATCGAGGAACTCATTGATTGGGAAGTTGTCCTTCCAGTAGCCCAACTGATTGTAGAAGAAGATGCGGCGCGACATATACTGTGGCTGATAGAACACGAACTGATGCAGCACATCCAGCTGATCGCGCTTATGCAGCAAGTCCATCTTCACCTGGGTGTCCGTAATGCTCTGGTAGAGCGGTAGCACCAGGCTGTTTATGAGCTCGGTATACGGAGCATTGACATCGGCTATCTCATAGTCATAGTGGTCCGATTCATCGTCGTCTCCACTGGAAGTGCTGGAATTGTTCATCACATCTAGCTGCATATTATGCAAATCCTGCTCCTCCTCCTGCTCACGGCGCCCTGCGTTCCTTGGCAGCTCGATATCCATTAGCTCTGGCTGTGTCTCCTGCTCACTGGCTGCATTGCCTGCATTTGGCGGCTCAGTGTCAATTTCCTCCTGTGGACCTTTATCATTCCTTGCCTGTTCCTGTCCATTTGCCGGATCGGCAGCGGCAGTTTCGGCCTTGATCCCGTCCATCTCTTCAACCTCTGCTTTGCGCAGCTGCACCACTTGACCCAAGTGTTCAATCATCAGCAGGAGATGCTTTGCATCCATGAGACGCTTGTGCTTAACCATGCTCTGGACACACTCAGCGCTGCCGAAGCAAATGGAACGGGACAGCAGCTCATCGAGCGCCTTAGACAGTTCCTCATCACTCGCTTCACCCGACTCGCCGTCCAGAAAGCTGAGTAGCTCGCCCAGGGTCAGCTCGGACAGGCACTGCTCGAAGCTCTGGGCGCCACCCACAAAGTTCGAGAGCTGAGAATTGAGCGAATGATTGAAGAGCGACTCGTGCTCCTTCTGCCCAGAAGCCAGCAGTTGGGTGACCTTCTGGCAGCGGTTGCTCACTTGGGCCTGCATGTTGAAGAGCACGTGATCGGACTTCATCTCGTGCCAGGTCATATAGGTGTCCACGCTGATCAGCTGCAACAACAGCTGGACGGAGTCCATTAGTTTGCCGCCAAAGATCTGCAGCTGCTGCTGAGCCGAGGGCAGAGGAACATTGTCCGGATGCACGGGCGATGAGTGCAGTGCATATATGGACACGTAGTTGGGAGCCCGTGGCGGCTTCTGCAGACAATTCAAGATCTGGACGACGACATCGAGCAGCATGCAAATCGATTTGGCCAAATAGCGGTTGCGGCCGCTGCTGGTGGGCAGAGCGCTGCGCAGACGCTCTTCGCTGGACAGCAAGTGACGCTGGAGCAGCGCCATCGAGTTGTCGATGATGGGCATTGAGTAGCGATAGCAGATTGCGTTAGTCACGGCGTTTAGGGCGCCGCCAATGTACGTGAGCATATCCACCTTATTATCTACAAAGTGGCCCAGGACACCGCTGAGACGATCGAAGTATTGAGATGTTAGCCAGGCGGGCCCATAGGCGAAGAACTCGAAGAGCAATTCGTGGAGGCCGCACAGCAAAGCGATGCTCACAGTCAAAACCTGCGTCAACGGCTCCGGCAGCTGCTTGAGCAAATGCACAAACTGCGGGTTCCACTTGGCCAGTTCCAGCTCCTTCTCCTTTTTGCCCATTGCGCTGTTCAGTATCAAATACATTAGTATGCCGCGCAGACGATCCAAGTCAGCAGCAGGATTCACTTTGACCTCCAGATGCTCCTCAGCCTTAACAAGGAATATGTTCTCAATAACCAGGTTATGCTCCAGTAGCACATTTAGCACAACTTCGGCTATTTCCTTGATTGGCTGATCATTGCCTGAAATGAAGCGAAGCGGCGGCATTTGACGATTTGCACTAATTCATTTCGTAAACGAGAACTTACCACTAATATAGTTGAAGCTATTCAACGGCTTCACAAGGGTATGATAGTTGGTAAGTCCAGTGCGTAGCTGTTTAAAAGGCTCGCAGTTGTTTAAGGCGCGCAAATCTTCCATTATCAAGCTGTTCTAAAATGGAAACGTCAAAACAATAATAAACACGTGAATTCGCCGCAGGCATACAATTCGAAAACAAGTCTCACCAGGTGAGCGCACAGCATACAAATGAATAACAACTATTCTACGAAATCACAACTGCCTACTTGATTTGACGTTTTCCATCAAAAGGTAACTACGTGAATGTTCTCATATATGAACTATCCAAAATATGCATGCACTGCCAACGAGGTTAAACACAGCGATGGCGCTTTAGATTTAGCGTTCATTTAAGTGTTCGCCGCAGGTATGCAAAACATAAGAGGTTACACTGAATTGATGAACTTGAATTTTTAGCCAATAAG